ATCATTTGCAAAGAAAGGAGGTGAATGACTTAGCTTTTCAGTTTTGTTTCAGAGTTCCATGGGTAGTCCTCTTTTTTCCCTTTATTCCAAATATTTTTGCATGACTCACAAAGCTCAGTCAAAGAGGTGGAAATTAGTGTTTGACATTTCATCATCACATTGATAATCTACCAAAGATGAATTAGGAAGTGTTGCAAGGCAGTTGTACAGACTGAAGATAGGTCTATCAAGAACTATCAGCCATGACTATAAAATGCAACCTTCCCATTCAGTGGCAGTAGAGCACTGACTATCAGATGGAAGGAACAGAGAGTAAGATGATGGTCATTTGCATCATGGCTTGTTGTGTACTCCCAGAAGCATCATCTAGCTCTGTTGAAGGCATAAAATTGGGAAGTGTTGGGAACAGAATGTTGAACTAGACTGACCTTGCTTAAATCCAGAGAGACAAGTCTTTCTTATGTCCACCTCTGGGTCACTGAGCAATGTGTCATGTCTACCCAATTTAATCGTCTATACAAAAGTTGTGCCAACTCTCTGCAGCTTGCTACAAATTATTCTCTAAATCACCCACACTCAAAAAAATCCCCCCTCCCCAAATTGCTTGCAATATTACAAGGTTAAATAAAATAATTTAACATCAGATCAGGAAGAAAAATCTGTCCACTCCCTTGTCAATTTTGACAAAGCCATAGTGTGCCAATATACTTAGGTTTTTCAGTAAGTACCCCAAAATGAAATGAAATTCTTGCAGAGGTTCTACATACACATATTTTAAAATTAGTTATCAGGAAGAAGCCAAAAACACACTTCTGGATCTATCCATATTAAGGGATCCGACTCGGTTTTTAAATATATATGAAAAATATATATGAAAGCCAAGGTATGCATCTTCTTTTTACTGTGACACTTCAAAAAGAACCAAATAATCAAAATTGTACACAAAAGGAACAAACAAGCTTGAAAATATTCTTGGATGGAGAATTTGCAGGATCAAACTCTTTACTTGTGTTGTCATTCACTGCAAGATATTGTACCATAATAACACAACAATTATAGTTATATTAGTGAAAAGAAAGTAACACACCCAACTGTACTGTTTGTTTTGCAGCTCACCTTATAGTCATTTTGATTTGGAATACTGTTGAAAACAATTTTTTCAAAAAGAAAAGAAAAAAGAATCACATACAAAAACTACAGGAGGTTCATTATTTGAAAACTGGTTTTCCCTTCTTCATTAGCAGTACAGCTTGTGATGTTTTAGTGAACTGAAAGTATACTTCTGTGCCCAAAATGTGCCTTGATTAATACAGGTAGCACTAGTGCCAGTATGCCATTTTAGCTTAGGTAGCAATTTTAGTAATGTTCACATAAAGACCCAACCAGTCCAATAAAGCCAGCCATCTTTTATTCCCTACACAAGCATTTCCAATAGAAAGCTGCCCTCTTAAAGACACATACGTCCAATTTTTGTGTTAAAGAGGTAGGGCTGTGCATCTAGACCAATATTTATATTTGTATTTTGATTCTAACATTTGTATTTCTGAATACAAATAAAAGCGCATATTATCAGAACTTGGTAATGTGTAACATGGTTATTGATTCCTTTGTCAGGCACACCATTTCTTGAGAACCATGTCAGAGACGAAATTTGGAGACACATCTGGGATGAGCCGTGAGCTGGGGGATCAGGCTCTGAATCAGTCACAATTCGGAGGGCAGGGAGGGAGGATTGGGAACCAAGCCAGAGGTCAGGGCCATAAATCTGGACTGAAGAGCAAACAAGGAGGAAGAAGCAAGAAGGAAGCGAGGAATATGACCACAAAACAAGTCAGAGCTAGAGGACAAACCAGGAGGCAGGAGCAAGGACCACAGAATGACCAAAGCTACAGGAATACACTGGAACAAGAAGCTTTCTTACACACCTTCCTGTCCAGAACTCTCAAATTGCCTGCCTGGTCCAGGACCTGAAAGTACATTACAAAGTAGCTGCCCCTTTGCGTGTCGAGGTCCCCAAGCCACCCCAAATAACTCACACATCATACGGAATTTTTGTTTAAGGTTTTTGGCATAATTTTGGCCACAACGTTATTAAAATACAAAAAATGTGAGTGGTTGCTTAGGCATTGGTTGCAACTAGTTGCCCCCAATGGGGACAGACTGGCATTTCGCAACACTGCGAAAGCCAGAAAAGGGGAATACATTTTGGGGATAGCGACAGAGCAGGGAACCTGCCTTCAGCCCTCCCCAAATGCAACCAGGGGCTCTTTCGTGGCCCTAGCCCCTTGACAGGGTTCGGACAAAAGCAATGATGAGCCCCTGTATTCCTTTAATGGAATACCCTTGCAGCAGCATTAGAGGGGCAGGCACAGCCAATCCATGCCCCTCAACCAACCAAACCCTAAACCAATGGCTAACCGCAACCTTACAAGTTGTGACGATTTGCTACGCAGCAGGCAAAAACCAAATGGCACCAGCCAGTCAGCCAGATGGACAAAATTCCTACCGGGCCCCTGCCCCAAGAGCAGACGACTCCATGACAGGCATAGCAAGGTCAATGCGAAAAACCCTAATTATAGGGGGGATGGGCAATCTGATGCACGGAGCGAAAAGAGGAAGCTCTACGCTTCGTGCAGAGAGTTTTAACATTTCAAGCTGTCAGTTACAGAATGGCAACATTAACTTCTTCCCAACAACAAGGGAAGCCCAATCACAACAGTGGCCAATGATCAATTAGCCCGCCCCACAACTTTGGAGTGTCTTGTCGGCCCCCACCGCAACACGTGCTCTCCATGAAGGAGAACATGCTTTGCTGTTCAATGGTTCACCATATGAAGAGCTGTACATGGGTTTGGCTGCTCCCTGCACTCTGTGAATTTGGCCCTTAAGATTAAGATGCTGATGTACCTCTGGCCTCTCCCTCTGCCTCTCATCCCCGGCTTATAGCATATGTCGGTTTTCAGTGGGGCCTGCTTCCAGGTAAATGTACACAGAACCACCCTCTAACTCTGCTTGCCCTAAATAGCAACAAAATCTGTCCCCAGAGACAGTAACCACACCACTGACAATCTTATAGGTGTACAAACAAAAATACCTTTTGTTGTGAATTCATACATACCTGAGATAATTTATGAGAGAGCACAGTGGAAACCAGACCTTTAGGAAATGTTACTTAGGAGGACCTTATTCCTGCATTGCAGGGGATTGGACTTGATGACCTCAAAGGTCCCTACAGTCCTATGATTCTGCGACCTTATCTTTGTTACCTAGCATTACAATGTCTGGAAATTGTTTTTCATATTTAGTCCAAGATTTCATTAAACAGCAATAGTGTCTGAGATAAAATGGATGTTCAGCTATTTTTATTTTATAAAGTCTTCTGTCAAAATACAGGCAATGTTATTGAAAGGTGCACATTTCCCCATTTTCCCTCTGCCTGGGATATATTTGTACTTAGGCAAGAACATTCTGCTTGCTACTTCAAAAATGGTCAAATGAAAATTCTGTCAATGCCTTATGCAACAAGTGAGAAAGCAATGTGGTGAGTGGTGAATAAAGGCCTGAAAAACTCATGCAATGCAACTCAGTTCAGATGCAATTTCAAGTATGTCACTTAAGGTAAAGGTAAAGGGACCCCTGAACATTAGGTCCAGTCACTGATGACTCTGGGGTTACCGCGCTCATCTCGCTCTATAGGCCGAGGGAGGCGGCATACAGCTTCCAGGTCATGTGGCCAGCATGACTAAGCCGCTTCTGGCGAACCAGAGCAGCGCACAGAAATGCCATTTACCTTCCTGCTGGAGCGGTACCTATTTATGTACTTGCACTTTGAAGTGCTTTCGAACTACTAGGTTGGCAGGAGCAGGGACCAAGCAACGGGAGCTCACTCCATCATGGGGATTCGAACCGCCAATCTTCTGATCGGCAAGCCCTAGGCTCTGTGGTTTAACCCACAGCGCCACCCGCGTCACTTATAGACTGTCAAATAACCCAAATAACTGGACACCAGTGGTTCCATCTGCACTATACATTGAAAGCACTATGATACAACTTTAAATAGCCATGGCTTCCCCCAATGAATCCTGGGGATTGCAGTTTGTTAAGGGTGCTCAGAGGAGACCCCTATTCCTCTCACGGAGCTACAATTCCAAAGATCTCTGGGAAGATAGACCGACTGTTAAATCACTCTGCAAATTACAGCCCTTTAAGACAAACAGAAGAAATATAGATTGGTGTACTGGGCTGGATAAATTTCTCAAATGGATTGTTCCTCTCATGGCCTTGGGAGAAAACCAAGATTTCACAAGCATAGTCTTCACAAACTGACCACAAACACAGACTTAACTGGACCATTTCTCTGGCAATGGCAGGTTGGCAAAGGTAGGTCACAAGAATGGCAATTAATGATTATGACCATTCCCTGTATGTATCTATTAAGGATTGTCCATCTAAGTGTGCATCCATATTTATGATTATCTGTGGGGTTGTAGGGAAGAATAAGCACCATTTGTGTGAACCAACCCTTAGTTACAAAAAGGTTAGCTGTTAAAATGTGGTTAATCATCTACTGTAATCAGCTTTTGAGTGCCTGTTTTGGTTGAAAAATACACATCTGTGACCGGATGACTATTATTAATAGCCCCATTTGGTGAACTGCCTTTTAATACAGTCGTACCTCGGAAGTCGAATAGAATCCGTTCCGGAAGTCCTTTCGACTTGCGAAACATTCGGAAACCAAGGCACGACTTCCAATTGGTTTCTGATTGCACAGGCGCGCCGGAAACAATAGCGGAAGCCATGGCAGACATTCAGCTTCCAAAAAAAGAAAAAAAGAAAACCAGAACACTCACTTCCAGTTTTCAATCATTCGGGAACAGGAACATTCGACTCCCAAGGCGTTTGGGAGCCGAGGTACGACTGTAATTCTATTTACATATTTTTCCATAAGATTACAATATTTTTAAGAACTGCATTTTTATTTGCAGGTGTAGTTGCTTTTGACACACACACACACACACACACACACACACACACTGTTTGTTTTAAGTTGTTTGCTGTTCTGTAAATGCCAAATAGTGTGTGTGTGTGTGTGTGTGTGTGTGTGTGTGTAAACAGAGACTATAGGGTTGAAATGCATTTGGTCATTATTCCATTTTGTTTTATTGAGTAGTTTTATATTCTGTTTACAATCTCTCATTATTAGTTACACAAAACACTTGCATAACGCCAGCTCTATGCTAATTCAGTTGGCATTATTTGGAAGTTCAGATCCCAACTTGTTCATAATCACCTCTCTTGGTTTGTTGGCACTTGCTTCCTTTTTATTTCACCTCATCATCTCCCAAAATGGGGAAGATGTGATTTAAAAAATAGGCCCTGTTTAAAGGCTCACAATCTAACAGGCAAATAAAACATGGGGAGAGAGGGAAAGGAGGGCTATCAAAATACAATACCAGTACATGAACAGTGCCTGCCCAATATGTTTTGCCACCAGAGGCAAAGGAGAAAATAGCAGCTTCCCCCATTTCTGCATACATAATACGACTGGATTGGCAGAGGGCTTATTCTCCACCACTATTCATGGGATATCATCCTTCACCCCATCTGAGGCTGCAGGGCAAATCAAGGGGACTAGGAGTAGGATGAGGGATAAGTTTGATTCAGTTTGCATTGAAAGGCAAAATTACCTAATTCACACATTCCAAAACAATATTTGAACAATATTCAATCAGCTCACACTGATTTCAGTGGGAGAGTTAATCATGCACTCAAAATCTAACACAATGAAACCAGGAGGAATGAAAAATCCTTATTTGTGATGGGTTGTGTCCTTATTGACTAGCACTAGCATCAGTTCATTAGTTAAATACATGTTCGTGGCAATCTACATATAGTTATGTTCCTACAAGTGTAATATTTTAGTTAAATGAAGAGCAACAGAGCAGGTTAACGCCGTTTCTATAAGAAGCGCTTTTTGCAGACCTGGCTGCTCATTCTGCAAGAACCCAGTGGTTAGCACAATTGTCTGGGTTTCTGATTGCCATAAAATATGCCTATTAATAACAGCAGGTTGGCTCTGTGAATAGAAGAAGCAACATGAAAACTGGTCCCCCATGATCATCTGCATATTTTTACAAGGAGTTACCAAGTATATAATCTATTTCCTATGTGTTTTAAGTGGACAAATCGTCTTGAACCTGCTTTAAAAGAATCAAAGAATAACACTTTCCACTGAACTAGTGATTATTTCAATTTCATCCTTTTTAATATGCTTTCTTCTGCCCCTTTTTTCTTCTACCTCTGATTCCTTTTGCCATCAATCCCATTGAACTCATCGGGTGGTCTCACTGCTGTGTTTGATTATTCTGGGGTTTGCAAAAATTACCTCCATTTTTGTCAGGCCAAATTCTTTGCCCTGGGTCTCAGCCATTGTCGAGTTTCTGCAACACATGGGATAATGTCAAAATGAAGGCTATTACCTGTCTATAGTGATCCGTGCTTTGGTGACCTCCCAATTGGATTACCATTATCCATTATATGTGTGGCTGCCCTTGAAGACGACGCAGAAGCTTCGTCAGATAGTCTTCTGAGTCAGATAGTCAAAGCACCCAATTTTTGTCTGATATTCAATCAAAACCAGGAATTTAATACATTAGGAAAGCATCTTGCATTGTTTAGGCTACAATCCTTTGACTACTAAGCCAGGAAGGTTTACTTCTGAGTAAATACATCTATGTGTGCCATAAATCCTCGTGTAACTGAAACTGAAAGCAGAAAAAAAATCCCAATCCTTGGGATCTGAAAATATTTTATGAAGAACAAAAAGACAGAAGGGAAAATGATATGACCACGATTTGTTTGTTTTTGTTTTTCACCTTTTGGGTGGGTTTTCGAAGGAAGCTTTGACAGCCAAATAACTTTTGGATTAGAGTAATACGAATTGTAGCTGTTTTGACAGCATGTTGCTTGAAGCTAATAAAAATATTGGAGCTGTGGTTGTCAGTAATATTGGGCTCTCTTCACCCTTCACCCCCTTCTCTCTCTCTCTCTCTCTCTCTCTCTCTCTCTCTCTGTCTTTCTAGCTATCTGTTACATAATATCATTCACTCTTAAAGCAAACTAGGATGATTCAAGGATGGGGGCGGGGATTGCATCCAGTTTACATCTAACAATGAACCTACCTAATCCACACATTCCAAAACAAGAATCAAAACACAATCATCCTTTGAAATGCACACCTTTTTCTGAATTTTTCAGTGCAATTCTCCATCCAAGTAATGTGTACAAAATGCACTGAGAAAGTGTGCATAAAGATGCACATGTATGTTAAAACACATACAAAATGCATTATACTGGGGGAAATTGCTTTCCAAATTTTAGCCAAAATTGCTTAGAAGCATTTATATATACAGGGAAGATGGACTCATTCCTGGCTCTCAAGCACCCCCCTTTTCCTATTCTAGACTGGATGCAGCCCTGAACAGATGCACTCCTCTAGGAATTTCGCAGGGAATTTTTAAAAGCCAACTCTGTTTGTCTAACCAAATGAATGGTGGACTTCTCAGGTGTGTTACTCAAAGTCTGGCAACAGGTTCTGCAATGCCCCTCCTGCATTGTCAGAGAAGGGCAAACTCTGATAGACAACTGCGTCCCTACCACTTAAATATTACCAGTCCATACAAGAATTTGCAAATATCAAATTCCTCATGCATCCCTACTTCCAGCTGCAGGAACTAATGCAGGAACACACCTCGATGCCCTTCTGCTCTTCAAAAGAAGAACTTTGAAGCCTGAATAGATGCACTCCATTGTGGCTCACTAGCTACAGTACATCCTGTTTTTGCACTCTGGCTTTTTTTGTTCAAGACCTCGAGTCTCTGACCCTTGACTGATTCATGTCTCAATTCTAACCTGCTCTTCAAGCAGTTTGACCCTAACACAGCAGGTCCGGTATGTCTCCCTGCTGCCTTTGTGCTCCACTGCAAAGCAAGAGGGTACCAGTTTTGCCTCTCCTTTTCATATATATACATACACATTGAAGTAGATATATTGATTTTCCAGGGCCAATTTCTTCCCGCCATCTCTCCCCTTCCTTCTGTGATAGGAATTTTGAGGTCTAGATATATGGTAATGTTCATAACTGCACGTACATAGATCAAGCACAGGAAGACTGACCTGAAGCCATTTTTTATTCCTAAACTGAGCAAATGTTTCTCTGCATGGTCAAAGTGGAAAAACCTCCCCATTGTCTTTTCCTTCACAAATCCTGTCTTAAGGGTATGTTGATGTGTTTGAATAGGGTGTGAGCCTGTGACATGGCCCAGGAACTAAGTATTTATCACTATTTATCACTACAAAAGAATGGCCAGGCTCCTCAGGCAATCCAATCAAGTAACCTGCCAGACAGGAAACAAACAAGGATAAGAGAAAAACAATATTGAAATTTCTGTTTTAAGACCACCTTTTCTGTGATGTATCTGAGGGGTGGTCTTAGGTTACACCCCTTCTGTGATGTATGTATAATGTTTCTGGGGGTGGTCTTGATCTACAGGATGGGAATTTCAAAAGTCTTTATAAGCCCTTAACAGCATTTTTGTGGGTCCTCCTCCTTTCCTGCGAGTGAGGGGAGCACCCTGTTGCAACAGATCAATAAAGATCAAGCTTACTAGCTGCTTTGCTTCTCAATATTCTCTGGTTGGCCTCTGTTATTTTCTTCTACCAATAGGAAACCTATGTAAGGACTCTATATGGGCTCTTGGATACCCCATAAGGGAAAAGGGCATATTTTTGTTTACAACACTTCCCTCATTCCCATGGAAATTCTGCTGGGGGGAGAGAGAGCAGGGAGCCAAATCTGTTCAAATCTACATTGCTGCCACAAGCAGCTCATATCATACTCACAGCAAAGGGTGTGGGGCAGGGGAAAGGAGGGAGAAAAGTGCCAGACATTTTCTCCCATCCTATAACAAGTTCCGTTTAAAGAGCATGTGCACGACACAAGTTGCTGCTAACTCCATGGGGTTGGGTGGGAGAAACTTCCTTGATCAAAACAGTAGTCTTGCATGGGAACTTTGAGGGAAAACAACAGCAACAACCTTCAAAGCACTGTAAAATTTTGATCATGGATTGACCCAGGGCTGATTCCCAAGTAAGTAGGCATTTGACTGTAGCCCCAGGGCTGGCAGGGAATCACAAGTCTTAAACAGTTCTCACTTCACAGCTGTAATCAGCTTCATTGCTGTTCTGCTTTTCCATGAGGGGTTTGTTTGCTTTGCTGTGCTCTCTTCGCTGCCAGAGTGCACAACTCTCATATTCCATTCATTTCAATTCTTTGCTGCAAAGCTGAGAGCACAAACAAAAATAAGCTCAAAGTTTCTCAGCATCTCACAGAATGAGAGCACTTTTTCAATATTTGTGAACCAGAAGCTGGGTGAAAAACCAAGTGCATCCCAGGAAATAATTCATCTGGAGAAGCTTTTGTTGGAAAAGAAAGAGAACTTGCTGAATATCCACCAGGTATCTGCAATACTTCTGATAATCTTCTGAAAACAAATGTCAATGCAGGCTAAAGCATATAGCACCACAACTGGTAACAGACCACACACATCTACGCAATAATAGTTTGCTCACTTCCCTTCCCTGAGTGCCTGTTACTCAGTGTTGGATCAGTGTAGGGTGGTGTGTAACACACTGCCAAAAAATGAGGCCGAACGATGACACCCATTTGCCTTAAATTTGCATATGGTAATTTATACTGCTAATCACAGCTTAAAGGCTTTGCATGGAAAGTGGATCTTCATGGGAATGATTTCTATGCCCTTTGAGTCATTCTGAAGACTGGGTCAGTTTGGCTTACATAACCATAGATTGTCGTGTTTGTTTTGTTTTAAAATATACATCCTACCTGAAAGTCACCCTCAATGCAGCATACAAGACAACCAGTGAAGCTAAAGCCACAATATATAAAGTTGGAATAGCACATTGGTGATGAGTGTAGTAAAGACATCTTACAACTTTTTTTTTTAATACTGGGACTGCTCATTCAAATGATCTGCCTCGTAGGGAACAAGGATTAAGGCTGCAAATCAATCTTGATTGTGCATGTTTTG